TGGGCACCCCCGGGAGAGCTGGCTGCCCCACAGCAGCCACAGAGGAGGGGGCTGTTTGCCCTGCATCTGGCACTGCCACACAGTAGATCACCGTTTCAAAGACTTCATTCTGTCCTTCCTCCATCCGGGGCGAATGCAAGTCACAGGCAGACCCAAGAGCTCGTGCCAGCTGCAGAGGCCTCCCTGAGAGTCTGTGCTGTCTGGGCCCTGCGAGTGCCCTGTCTGTACCCCGATGCCGTCTCCCAGCTCCAGCAGGCGGAGCGCAGTCCTCCCCAATCGCCTCCCAGTAGTGAGGCGGCTGCCCCCAGAGATTTCACAGCAGCTCATGTGAACATTCAGTTTAGTAACGACAGGAGAAACTAAATGCATCGAGAGCTGGCTGCTGCGTTGACTGGGCTCTGGGCCTGTGTTCATTAGCCAGGACTCCCAGGCTGGAGGTAACAGAACCGCAGGTTTCTTGGTTTCTTCGACTGTGAAGGATGGAAGTCAGGAGGGCTTCAGGCTCAGCTGGATCCAGGACGTCGAACATCTTCGGGATTCTGTCTCTTCACCCCTTAGCTCTGCTCCCGGTTGCTGACTTTGTTTGCTGCTGCTGCCAACAAGCTTCCTCCAGCTGCAGGTGCAGCAGGAATTCCCAGCAGCAGGAAGTTCTGGGTTCACAGCCCCCACCAGGGAGCCAGGAAAGGACAGAGCTGTCCCTCCCACGGCAGGTTATCTTCCCTTATGGCTGAGGCCTTTTTAGTGTCACCAGGGGGGCCGGGGCAGCACCCTGCGCCCCCTTGGCACTGTTAGCCAGACATGCTCCCCACTCCTATTTCCATGGCAACTGTCCCTCTAAACTGTCTCTGAAGTTCGTCCCCTCCGCCTGTGAGTGCCGTGTGGGGACAGGGGTGGTGTTTATGCACTTGTGCACCCCCAGTGACTGACACCCGAAAGATGGAGTGTCCTGAGGTGCCCCCAGGAGTCCTCCGCAGGCCTGGCCTGGGCTGGGGCGTAGGGCTCTCAGGGACACTGCAGCAGGCTCTGAGGCCTGGCCCTGCCTCCGGGCACCTGTGAGTGGAGGGGTGCGCCCTCAGGAGTGCTCGGCCAGCAGGCCCTGCAGGGCCCTCGGGAGCACAGTGTGGCAGGTGCACCCCCAGGGCTGTGGCCCTCGGGATGGCGTGAATTTAAAACACGCAGAGTGCAGGATGACTGGCCGGCGAGCGCCGTGTTAGCAGTGGAAGCAGGCACGGTAATAAAGGGACTGAGATATAATCGGAGCCCACCCGCATCCCCACACGGCTCGCTCCCCTCGCACGGCCGCCGGGAGTCCACGTGTCCAGCTGTGTGTAGGCTGTCGATGTGTGTCTGTGTGTACGTATGTGATGTGTGGGCTCCCGTCAACAAGCAAGTGCTGTACCCCTGTGCCTCTGGGGTCTGTGGGAGAACCGGGTCCAGCTCACGTCTTTCACCTGCTGCGTACATGTCACCACATGAATAAATGCACAGTGCTCACCCACGCTGAGGCCACTTCTGCTTCTTTGCGGCTGATGGCAGGTGCCCTGTGCCAGCGCTGCCTGTGAGGTGGGCCCGTATCCCGCAGGAAGCCCGGCTCCTGGGAGACGAGCAGGTTCTGCTCCGCTAGCTGCTCCAGGTGTCAGGACCCTGACACGGACTCACTGTGCGGGTGACAGGTGACCGGAGGGCTGTTTTCTCGCAGCCTCACCAGCACCTCGTACAGTCCCGCGGTGCCAGTTCCGCCAACCCGGTGGGAGGAAATACATCCCCGGCTGTTTTAATCGACTTGCTTTCCTTGGGTCAGCACCCAGGCCCGGTGCTCTGTCCACAGCACCGTCGGCCCTCGTCCTCACCTAAGTTGCGTCAAGAGAAGGGAACACGTCTGGGCTTGCGAAACACGTTTGCACCGCTGTGGTTTCCCAGAGCCCCTCCCAGGTCCGAGACCGTCACCTGCGTGCCCACTAGATGTAAGGAGTGGACTCCTCTTGGTGTAGGGTTGGCTGGACAGAGCCTCGGGAGCCGAGGGATGCCGCCCCCGGTCACTGCTGTGGTTCTGAACTCGTGAGTGGCAGGAAATTCAGTCAGTTCTCTGTGCACGAGGAGGTGTCCTGTTTTCCAGCTACTGTGTGTGCGCGTTTCTATGTCCTTGTGGTTCTTTTGCTTCTGTTTTTGTTTTTGTTTTTTTTGCTCTTTGTTTGTTTCATGAGTCTCCTTAGAGGAACTAGGAGGCACTAGGCCATGAGCAACCGTATGAAGCAAGCTGTGTGTGCTGCAGCCCCGGGCTTATTGGCCGTGTGGCCTCGCATACCTTATGTGAGCCTCGGTTTCCTGACCTGTAAAATGGGGGTGTGGTCTCTGTCCCGTAATGCCACAGTGTTGTCCTGAGGGGTGAGTGGCACAACCTGGGTCGGGCGCTTAGAGAGTGTTGAGTAACAGTTGGCTGTTGCTAAGGGTAAATGCCCACATGCAGGCTCAGAGGCGCCCCACCCAGCACCTGCCGAGCTGACTCAGTAAACAGGCCTACAGCTCCTCCGGTCTGTGCGGAAACACTGAACTCCATCCAGGAGCTCCTGTAAGGGGAGCACTGGAGCTTGAGCCCATCCCCCCCGTGATCCGGGCTCCCTACCCCACATCCATCTATTTAAAATCCCACTAGGACCTCAGCGAGGTCTGCGCGGGACTTCACCCGAGGGCCCTGGTCAGGGGAGGCCGCAGAGCCCAGGCCTTCCTGCCCCCGCCGGCTCTGACCTGCAGCCTCAGCTGATTGCAAAACAGACCCGAGTGGGGCTGTGCAGGTAGTTCCCACGCTCTCTGCTCCAACCAGCTGGATATGTTCTTTGTGAGCACATGGATAAGACATTTGATTTTTTTGGGGGGGGGGATTTAGAACATTTTAAGTTATTTTTAAAGTTAAGTTTTCGATACCGTTTATTTCCTTGGTAGAGAGTTAATTGCCTTGCTCCCTTCACCTCTTGTCTCTAGACTGTGCAGAGCTCAGCTGTATTGAGCGTCTCGTGGGCTCGGGCCCCACCTCCCTCCACTAAGTAAATACCCTGTAACTTTGTTTAATCTATTAACAAATAGGGTTTTTCCAGCTGCAAAATCAATCTTATGTGCAGGAGTTACTGGGTGAAAAAACCCCACACAAGTACGTTGCAATTGTAACTCTGCTCTTAGAAGGCTAAGTAAATGTATACCCTCACCCGCCTGCACGGAAACTGTTTCTGGTGCCCAGGCGGGCAGTGGGCACACCGCTAGCGCCGCCCATCAGCCGGTGTGGAAGTGCCCCTGGGTCTGGCCGCGGCCCCCACCTAGGAGGCAGGTGCTGCGTCCTTGGTCGCCCACCTCGACCGAGTTTTCTACAGAGGATGGCTCCCGTCGGGTGCATTCTTTCGTTTGCTCCAAACGTCTTCCTGATTTGTAGGAACACTCTGTACGTTAAGAAAAGTTACTTTCAGTTAAACTATTCTCTGATTTTTCTCTCAGGTCATTACCTGACTTTTTAGGATATTTTTGATGTGCTTCATGTTTTAAAATGCGGTTATTTATTGTTTTTTTCTTCGACGGCCCCTCCCGGCCCTCGCGGGGTCCCGCACCCCTGGGCCCCTCCCGGAGTCTTACGGGCGGAGCCGGCTCTGGGGTGATGCGTCCGCGGGGCCAGTGCTGCCAATCTCAGCGCGGGGCGGGGCCGGCCCGAGGGCCTGGGCCAATCGGGGGCCGAGAGCGGGG